GATTCATTATCCCCACGGGCAGATCAACCACACGGGGGTGGGGGGTACTTACGGGGTTGAGCAGAGGGGCTCCCTCTACCGCAGCCAGAGCACATCCCGGGAGCCGCAGATCTCTCTGGGGGGCTGTGAAGAAGCCCAAAGGCCCCTGCCCCACGGTGGAGGCAGCCCCCAGCTGCCGCAGCTCCTCGATCACCACCTGCACACCACTGCCCACGCTGTCACACTCCTCCTCCATGGCAGAGAGTGTCTTGCAGGCTTCCCCCGGACTCCCCTTGAGCAGTCCAGGCTCCTCGGGTGGTGGGCTGCGGGCCCGGCTCTCCCCATCTTCATCGGCGGTGCACACTTTCCCCTGCCGTAGCTCACCCACTTCTTCCTGGAGCTGTTTTAACAACTCGTTGTTGGCGCGAGCAAGACCCAGGGCCGCCTCAGCCAGACCCACTGCCTTGTCCACCCGCTGGTAGATAATATGCAGGAGCTGTTCCGTGCTCTGAACCGCCAGGCCATGTCCTGTCACTGTGATAGGGGTGCTGGTGGGAGGATTCCCACCCTGAGAACCCGAGCTGCCCTGGCTAGTCTCACTCTTACAGGCACAACAGCAGCATCTGGCTTCACTGCCACTGGGCGGGGTGAAGAGAATGGTGGCGCTGAAGGACATAGCTAACGGATGCAGATAACTGGGTGCACTCGGCTGGACAGCTTTACCAGGGTTCCGGATAACCGGGTACACCGCCGGGCGGCCTCACAGGCGTTCCAGATAACCGGGTGCACACTGCCAGAGGGCCTCACAAGCGTTCCAGATAACCGGGTGCACACTGCCAGAGGGCCTCACAAGCGTTCCAGATAACCGGGTGCACACTGCTGGACGGCCTCACAAGCGTTCCAGATAACCGGGTGCACGCTGCCGGACAGCCTCACAAGCGTTCCAGATAACCGGGTGCACACTGCCAGAGGGCCTCACAAGCGTTCCAGAGATCTGGCCTTCACCAGGTAAGCAATGGCCTCGAGATTCACTTTCCCTTCTCATGGAAGGTGGTCAGCAGGGCTGGGGCTCCAGACTGTGGGGATCTGTGGAAGCTAGTGGATGAAGACACTCAAAGTCCATGGTTGCGCCTCCTCAGCCTTCTGTTGGCGGGTCCCGTGCTTCCTAAGCACATAGCAGCCTTCACTGAAATAGAAGCAGAGCAAAGACTCTGATGAGTACAGGTTCAGGGAATTCGAGGCATTCTTGCACCCAAGCAAGGACATCTCCAACCCCACCCCCCACCCCCTGCAACCCAGGTGACAGAACAGGGAGGACACCTGGAAAGAAAAGACCACGGAAGAAAACGAAGACCTGTTTCCTCCTTTTCTCTCCGATCCCTGTGACTCCTCTACTAACAGTATGGCGTCCTGCTGCTAAAGGGTGAACTGTGTCTCCACGGGCACACTAAGCTTTCACAACAAGAGTCTCCTTTTTGTTTGTTTGTTTGTCTTTTCGAGAGAGGGTTTCTCTGTGGTTTTGGAGCCTGTCCTGGAACTAGCTCTTGTAGACCAGGCTTGTCTGGAACTCTCAGAGATCCCCTGCCTCTGCCTTCCAAGTGCTGGGATTAAAGGCGTGCGCCACCACCGCCCGGCTGTTTGTTTTTGTTTCTTTGGTTTTGTTTCTAGTTTTTCTTTTAAACTTGGTTTTGATTTCGGGGTCAGGGAGGACAGGTTCGAGGGGGACAGAGATAAGTGAGCTTTGAGTGCATGATGTGAAACCCACAAAGAATCAATAGGAGTTCAAACAAATTCATCTTGGGCATGGTGACAAGACGTCCTCGATCCGAGTCAGTATTCAGGAGGTAGAGGCAGGTGGGTCTCCAGGAGTTCAAGGCCAGCCTCGGCTATGTAGCTAGTTCCAGGCCAACTAAGGATATATATTAAAACTCTGTCTCAAGAACAACCCCCAGAACAAGCAAATTAGAGTTAGGGTTGAAGTCGGTGGTAGGAACAATAACTATAATATTATCAAGCTGTTATTTGTGGGGTACTGACCCTCTGTCAGTATGTCATAGATCTCTGTAGGTATTTTTTATATGAGCAATCTTTTTTTACAAACCTTTTAAATTATTTATTTGTGTGTACATGTGTGTGTTGAGATTGGTACCCTTCCTTGGGAGGCAGGAGAGGACACTGGGACCATGAGCTGAAGTTGCAGTTAGTTGTGAATCGCCTGACAAGGGTGCTGGGATGTGAACTTAGGTCTTCTAGAAGAGTACAGTGCTCTTAACCTCCGGGCCATCTCTTCAGGCCTGTTATAATCTCTATACAAATAAAACAGGCAGAGATGAGAAAACTGGGATTGGGAAAAAAGGAATTGAGTTGGGCTTGGAGAGTCCTTGTAGTTTCACCACTGGGGAGGCTAAGACAGAACACCCATGGTATGACCAGCCTTGACCGTGGAGCAAGTCTGAGTAGAACAGCTGCAGTCTAGAACAGTCCAGAGTAAAAGTGACCACTCAGGAGGCAGAGGCAGGTGGATCTCTATGAGTTTGAGGCCAGCCTGGTCTGCAGAGCAAGTTCCAGGACCGCCAGGGCTACAGAGAGAGACACTGTCTAAACAAAACAAAACAAAACACAAACAAACAAACAAAAACACACATATACTAAAGACAGCAACAACAATAACCACCAACACCAAAGCCAAAAAACCCACAAAAAATGAAAACTTCACCTCTACGTACAACAGTTCAGGGGAGGCCATCCATCATCTGAACTATCCCTTCCTCCCAGGGCACACGCATTTTTGTTCAGACTAAATATATCATATTTTTGGCAGTTCCTCTGCTTGCTTTCTTCTCATTCCGAGTTTGAATTGTCTACATGATTGAGTTTACCTCCAAACTATGAAAAATAAAAGGTTTCTCACTATTTAATAGCTGGGTGTGATTTGGTATTCTTTGGACATATGTTCTTACAATGCGCCTTTGACTCATTCAGGGTCAGGACAGAAATGAACTTTCTTAAATGTGATAGGCAATTCCTATTATAATCTTCACTATTGGAAATAAAAAGGAACTCATCACTTAAAGCTCCTCCTCAGCTGGTCAGTCCTGCTGCCTCCATTTTGAGGAACAAAATGGTCTTCTTAAAATCCGTTCCTATCAGAAACCACACAATAACCGCAAATGAGCAGTTACCATAAAATACACTTTCTCTATAATTTAAGAGTGACCAGTCTAGGCCGGGTGGTGATGGCACAAACCTTTAATCCGTGCACTCTGGAAGCAGAGGGCCAGCCTGGTCTACAGAGGTAGTTCCAGGAAAGCCAGGAGTACACAAAGAAACCTTGTCTCGAAAAACAAGCAAACAAAAGGGTCTAATGATCTACAAGATATCTAAGACTTCATTACCAAGCACAAAACAGAGAGGCCAGGCAGAGCCCCGGCTCTTACACTAAAAGCCTTCCGTGTAATCTGAAAACTGCATTCTCTTCCTTTTCTCTCCTCCTGAGAGAAGAATTTGCGTGTGTGTGTGTGTGTGTGTGTGTGTGTGTGGTGCCTTTCTTCTCCATTCTTTTGTGACAGAATTCAGCATGTAATTCCTTTTTCCTTAAAATTTTTTTAGATTTTTTTTTATGTGTTGCCTATGTTCATGTAAGTACACCACAGACATGCCCGGTGCCCAAGGAAGTCAGAGCAGGCACTGGTTCCCGTGGGACTGGAGTTAAAGATGCCTATGAGCCACCATGTGGGTGCTGGGAACTGAACCAGAGTCCTTCCTATATGGCGGCTGAGTCAACTCTCCAGCTTTTACTGGCCTGGAACTACGCAGACCAGGCCGGCCTCAAAACCGTGGCAATCCTGCACTAGCATCTAGAGAGCTAGAGTTACAGACACTATGCTCTATCTGTCACAAGAATTTTCAAGTTATTATGGCAGTCTTTAAAAAAATATATAAACAGGCTAAAGTGCAGCGAGGTAAGATTAAGATTTCCGTTTCCCTAGAATATACCTGACATTGAGGACTTTACTGTATTTGTGGAGAAACGGACAAATGTAAAACTAACTCCCAGGGCTTTTATCTCGTGCACGCAGCGCCTTCGGTTAATGATGGTGATCGGTCAAAGGTGACCCAGACAGGCGCACGGACTGCAAAGCATTCCCAGGGAGGCAGCGCAGCTCCAGGGCGGGGTCTGCCCGCCCTCGGGACTCACGAGTGGACCTCAAGGACAGCCCAGCCCACCCGGAGCCCAGCTCCACGCTTCCAGGACCGCTCCACCCGTGTGCCGCAGGCGCGCGAGAAGACGGCGTCCGTGTACCCGCCGGCGCGCGCACACTAGTGGGGGCACCGCCCCGCTCGCCCTCTGGCTCGCGCTGATAGGCCATTGAACCAAAGGGGTGCAGGACCAGGGACGCTATTGGCTTCAGTTCCCTGTCACTCAACTATCCGGGAAGGGAGGGGCCATCTCAGGGAGGGACACGACCAAAAGGCTTTTTCAAGGACGCCAGGCGCCATTTTGGCTGTTTACTCGCTTTTGCTACGTCCTGCTCTACAGTTGTGTGTACACGACCGAAGTACGGAGGTCGCAGAGTGTTTTCATACATTTGGCGGAGCTGATTTTGGGTTCCTGCCTGCCTTAGTTACAGATCTCTCAGATAATAGTTGCAAAGTAGCATTTCCTTCCTCCTTAGTTCAGTTTGCATCTTTTACTGTTAGATTCTCAGCAAAATCTATAGATTTGCTTTGCTTTGGTAAAAGTGTCATACCAAACAAGCCAATCCACGGGAGGGAGGGAGGGATTCCTAGGCGATGAGCCTAGGCTGCAAGATCCGAATGCCTAAGCTGCCTGGCAACCACTCTTAAGGAACTACGTGGTAGGTGACAGCCTGCCGTGGTGCCTGAGACTTTAAAAGTAGCATAAAAATTATCATCGTTGCTGTGATCATTAAGGTCCATAGAATCTTTTACATTTCAAAGAAATGCAAGTCTAAACTTGTGGAAGGTCTTGTTGGGAAATAAAAATGCTCTTAGTATAAATAGAAAGTCTATAGAATCCAAGCAGAGCCATTTTCCTTATAAATTTAAGACCCGGTAGCAATTTTACTGCAGGTGTTGCTTAGGTGTCTTTAAAGACTGTGCATACAACACTTAGCTAAGAGGTCTGTAGTGAGAACTTGGACTTGACTCTCCCGGTTACATCTGTGACGTCTCTCCGCATACACTAATGTTTTCACACAATTTTCAAATACAGACTGAACAGAGGTATATCCTGTAAAACTCCTGATTAGACCGTCACACCACACAGCTGCCTAGGAAGGGGAGGCTCTGCCCCAGGGAAAAGACTTTAACGCACTCTTTTCCGAAACTTGCGAGATATGGGGGAAGCTTCGCATTTACAGAACACAAAATCGCGTTGCATTTTTTATCCCTCCTATGTTTTGGTTGACTCCTCTTGCCCCCCTGCCCCAAACAGTTCGATAACTGAACTAGACAATTTTCCCCCCCCCCCCCTTTCCTACCTCTGGAGTTTTTCAAACAAATCCCAACCAATAAAAGTCCACTTTGTTAAAAAGCCAGAAAATTCCGCTTTGAACATCTCTCTCCAAAACTACTGGCAGAGGCCAAAACATACACAGCTGTACATTTAAGAACGAGAAACAGTAAGAAGGCAAAGGCACTTACAAGCTATTGCAGGGGGCTCGAATGACTTTACAGCTCGAATAACTTCCCTACCATCATCTGCCAGGCAGACTGACTGCATGCTTTGGGGCAATTATTTAATTATTCACTAATCTGAGCAAAAAAGGAGCAGAAAATAAGGTAAATTCCAATAGGATGGAAGTTCTTAAGTAAGCCAAGAGCAGGATTTCCTCTAAGCTTTACTTGGCATATGAAATCCTGTTTTGATCACATTTGGAAGCACAAGAGGAAAAAAAAAATTACATCGTAGGGTTTGTTTTACACACATAAAACCAAAGGAAAACACTTGAAAAATAAAATCTGATATGGCACATATACACATACTTTACATATACACAAAGAATAATCAGTATGAAGTGGTTTGCTTTAAGTATACACACACACACACACACACACACACGTCCTCATGAAATTCTGTGTGCTAGACACACCGTCAGAGGGCTTTCCCTTCTCTCCAGGGAAAAGAGTGTCCCGATTATAATATCCCAGTATATTAAATCTATTGGTTTTGCACACTTGCCACATCCTCGCCAATTGGTTTTGGTTCTGAGGGAGTGTGTGTAAAACGCATGCCGAACGGCTTTGTGAGGGCGCCTCAAATCTCTCTGTTGCCTGTGGTAGAAATTTACATTATCCCTTTAGCCCGATTAAAAACAAATCTATACTTCCCCAAGCGACTAAAATTTAAAATCCTTCAAGCACAAAATTTACCAGTCCTTAAAATGTGATAGCAAAAAGAAAAAAAAATAATCTGTAAATTTGTCTGGAAACGGTTGCACACGACCATCCTGCTTCTCAACTTGGTATATTTTTAAACCTTGACCAGGAAAAAGAAAGAGAAAGAGAGACAGAAAAAGAAATGGGGAAAAGAGCAAATTCCCCTTAGCAACAGTTTCCTCACCCCAGCACTGCCACAGATCTCTATTTTTAAAAAAATCTGAAAACACACGCAAGATGAAGGAGAAAAAAAAAAATGGAAAAAGGATACCCGAAGGTCGTATGGCTCTTTGTATTCGTGTGTGTGCAAAAGAGGAGGACTCGCGGAGCCGGAGCTCGCAAGCCCCGCCCCTTCCCGGACGCCCGCCCGGATTGGCCGCCGGCCGCCCCGCCCGCAAGCACACGCGCCGCGCCCGAGGCGTCCGCCCGGGGGGCCCCCGAGGGCCGCGGGCTCGCGGACCTGGACGCGCTGCGCTGTGTCCTCCCCTCTCTCACCCTTCACCTTTCGTGTCTCGCTTTTTCCCTGTAAAACCAGACCCAGAAGAACAGCCCTGTGACAGAGCACCTTCTGACTTTGCTAAACTCGGCGAAGTAGCTCCTTACCTGTGACCTTCTAGGCTGGGATTGAGTGTCAGGGTAGGGGCCTGAGTCTCAACCCTTGGTTTCCCAGGGCAATGTCTCTGGGTCACACATGTTGCCTAGCAGCCCACCTCTACGTGATCACTGATGAGTGTAACGCTGGCTAAGTGAAAGGCAAAGTAGCCTTACACCGGGCTTTACACTTTGGGGCTTGTTTTTGTACAGCCCCAGCTAGATTCGGTCCCCTACTGGACTAACACCATATTCTGAAACATATGAATGAAACATATGAACACCATATTCAGAAACAGAAATGTCTTCGTGCATGTAGACCCTTGCTTAAACCTGGATTTTAAGCAGCCCATAAACTGGTCTCACCGCACCTTCTTGTTCTAAAACGCTCGCAACACACACACACACACACACACACACACACACACACACACACACACGTATAACGTAAAACACGGATATTTATTGTGGGGGCGCTAGCGTGCCGCAGCGCTCGTGTGACTGTAAGGAGACAATTGCAGGAGTCGGTTCTCTCCTTTCCACCTTGTGGGTCTAGAGGATAAAAGCCAAGTCTACAGGTTTGACGCAGGTTTGGCGGCCTTCACAAACTGAGCAAGTGATGTCCTCCACTGGGCGCTAAATTCTTTTGGTTGTTGTTTTTTTTATTTTTTCTTTTTTATTTATTAATTATTAAAGATTTCTGGAACTAGCTCGGCCTTGCGGCCTTGAACTCAGAGATCCACCTACCTCTGCCCCGCCCCCAAGTGCTAGGTTTAAAGGTGTGAGCCACCACACCTGGTACCCCCTCCATCTTAGTCCCCAAGGATAACGTCAAGTCCTGCTTATACCTATTTATTTTCTTTAGTATCTGAACCCATGGCCTTTCTCAGTCTTCCTAGGACTTCCTGTCTTCCCACCTCACTTGAATCCCTGACCTATGAGTTTATATAAGAAAATGGGAAGCTAGGTATGGTGGCTGAATCTTGCAATCCCAGCACTTGGGAGAATGACAGGTTTACTGTCCCCTGTTCGAGGCCAATCTGGACGACATATTGAATTCTAAATCAGCCTGGCTACCTGGCTATGGCAGAAGATTCTGTCTCAAGAGAGGAAGGGAAGACTGGAGAGATGACTCATTGGTTAAGAGCACAGGCTGCTCTTCCAGAGGACCCAGGTCTGCTACCCAGCACCTGGGTATTGTATTGCAGATTACAATCACCTGTCACTCCAGTTCCAGACCATCCAACACCTTCTAGCATTTGTGGACGTCAAGCACACACATGGTACACAGATGTACTTGCAGGCAAAACAACCACAGACATCAAAAGTAAAACTATAGTGACTGGAGAGATAGCTTATAGGTTAAGAGCACTGACTGCTCTTCCAGAGAGGATCCAGGTTCAATTCCCAGCACATACATGGCAGCTCACAGCTGTCTGTAACTTCAGTTCTAGGGAACCAAACACCACACAGACTTACATGCTGGCAATGCACATAAAATAAAATAAAATTAAAAAATAAAAGCATTAAAAGATTAAAAAAAAAGGGCCTAGTTATGTGTGTGCTATGTTTGGCCAAGAGATACTGAGGCATTAGGAGCATCCCAATAAACTGTTTAAAAGTATCCAAAAAAAAAAAAATATATCAGCCGGGCGGTGGTGGCGCATGCCTTTAAGCCCAGCACTCGGGAGGCAGAGGCAGGCGGATCTCTGTGAGTTCGAGGCCAGCCTGGTCTAGAAGAGCTAGTTCCAGGATAGGAACCAAAAAGCTACGGAGAAACCCTGTCTCGAAAAAACCAAAAAAAAAACAACAACAACAAAAAACAAACAAAAAACCAACAACTAGCCTTGCGGGGGGTGGTGCACACCCTTAATTCCAGCACTCGGGAAACAGAGGCAGGTGGATCTCCCAGTTCTAGGCCAGCCTGGTCTACAGAGCAAGTTCCAGGACAACAAGCCATAGAAGAGCAAGAAAAGGGACTACAAACTACAAACCTTTCCACTTGGCACGAGCAGTGTTAACACAGCTTCTCGCAGAGTGTAAGCGACTGTGACAGTATACACAGGCATGTCATTATGTGTGGCTACAATGTATCTGTCTCCAGGGGAACATGTTTCACAGTGCATTAGCATCTACTCTCTGCCGCCATCCTCAGTCTTCTTCCCCAAAACCCTTGGTCCAGCTCTGCCTGCCAGTGTCTCTCTCCATCTTTGCTACATCCATGTTACCCTGTTACTTTCCTGTCCTTACGCCTGATGTGTCCCTAGGTCTAGCTTCCTTCTCCACCCTCCATTATTTCCTCTGTGACAGTAGTTGTCTGGGTGCCTCACAGCAAGTGGTGACCGCCTCTTCTTGTTAAGATCTACCTGCAGTGCTTGCTTATTGACGGTATCTTTTTTTTTTAAATATGATTTATTTATTATGTATACAATGTTCTGTCTGTGTGTATGCCTGCAGGCCAGAAGAGGGCACCAGACCTCATTACAGATGGTTGTGAGCCACCATGTGGTTGCTGGGGATTGAACTCAGGACACCTTTGGAAGAGCAGGCAATGCTCTTAACCGCTGAGCCATCTCTCCAGCCCTATTGACTGTTTCTTATTTAAACTTTGTGGAGTGGGGCTAGGAAAAGAGATCATGCAGAGCCTGCTGCTTAAGCCAGATGACCTGAGTTCCATCCTTGGCACCCACACGTAAAGCTGGGCATGGCTTTGTACACAGAACCGCAGCCTTGTGGAGGTAGAGGTGGCAGATCCCTGAGTCTTGCTGGCCCAGCCCTAGGAACCTGATCTATGCGATACTAGTGAGAGAAGCCGGGTGGCCAGCTCCCAAGGGATGGCTGCTGAGGCCGATCTCTGGCTTCGCATGTATGTCCTCCTGCATGTTTACACCCTGCACCAGTTCATGGGCTCACACACTCTAAGCAAACATTCTGTGGACTAAACTACTACTTTTATTGTTTTGCTTTTTTTTCTTTCTCATAGCCTTGCTCATGCCAAGTAAGCACACATTCTCCAACTGAGCTACACCCTTCCACTCCCCAAAGAGGATTTTTATTTATTTATTAAAGATTTCTGTCTCTTCCCCGCCACCGCCTCCCATTTCCCTCCCCCTCACCAAATCAAGTCCTCCTCCCTCATAAGCTCAAAGAGCAATCAGGGTTCCCTGCCCTGTGGGAAGTCCAAGGACCTCCCACCTCCACCAAAGAGGATTTTTTATTCAGTTAGAGAGAGGGATGGCGTGGAGAGATGGCTCAGCAGGTAAAGGCACCTGATTTCCCAGTACCCAGACAGTGAAGGAGGGACACCCCAGCTGTCCTCTGACACACTTCCACATGTGCACAATGGCTTAGGAGCCCACACACACTAAGTCCTACAAGTTGCTCTCTGACCTCAACCCATGCACACA